AAGGAAAATGACATGTGTATCCAAGTTGGGGAGTTCAGAGGAATTGCATCCACAATGTAGAGTGGGTTCAGTTTGACCCTGCTTCAACTCCTGCAACTCAATGCTGTGGAATCCGGAAGGCTGTCATGGATTCTCTCTGGTGTTTTTGAGACACAAGAGCACGTCCATGCCATGAATTCAACCTGGAGGGAAGAATATAAAACATCTGAAGGCCCAGTCTGAGAACGACACTGACAACACCCTGTAACTAAATTTGAAAAATGTTCTGTTCCTAGTTTGAAAGTGTTATTTCCTGTTTAATTGTGCTGCACTTACTTTGAAAGTAGTTGTTCTACCCTGTTTCCCAGAAAATAAGACATCCCCTGAAAATAAGACCTAGTAGAGCAGTGTTTTTCAACTTTCCTCATACTGTGACCCCTTAATACAGTTCCTCATGTTGGCGTGACCCCCAACCATAACATTATTTTTGTTGTTACTTAATAACTGTAATTTTGCTCCTGTTATGAATCATAATGTAAATATCTGATATGCAGGATGTACTTTCATTCACTGGACCAAATTGGCACAAATACCCAATACACCCAAATTTGAATACCCGTGGGGTTGGGGAGGGGGTTGATTTTGTCATTTGGGAGTTGTAGTTGCTGGAATTCATAGTTCACCTACAATCAAAGAACATTCTGAACTCCACCAACAATGGCATTGAACCTAACTTGGCACACAGAACTCCCACGACCAACAGAAAATACTGGAGGAGTTTGGTGGGCATTGACCTTGAGTTTGGGAGTTGATGGTCACCTACATCCAGAGAGCACTGTGGGCTCAAACATTGATGGATCTGGACCAACTTTGGCACAAATCCTCAATATGTCCAAATGTGAACACTGGTGGAGTTTGGGGAAAACAGACCGTGACAGTTGGGAGTTTTAGTTGCTGGGATTTATAGTTCACCTACAGTCAAAGAACATTCTGAACCCCACCAATGATAGAATTGGGCCAAACTTCCCACACTGAACCCCCATGATCAACAGAAAATACTGTAGGTTCTTGTGGGTTTTTTTTCGGGCTATAGGGCCATGTTCTAGAGGCATTTCTCCTGATGTTTCGCCTGCATCCATGGCAAGCATCCTCAGAGGTAGCGAGGTCTGTTGGAAATAGGACAATGGGTTTATGGCTGGGGTGGGGCAAATGGCTGGGGTGGGGCAAAGAGCTCTTCTCTGCTGGAGCTAGGTGTGAATGTTTCAACTGACCACCTTCATTAGCATTTGAAGGCCTGCCTGAGCCTGGGAAAATCTTTTGTTGAGAGGTGTTAAGATGTGCCTGGTTGTTTCCTCTCTGTTGTTGTGCTGTTGTAATTTTTGAGTTTTTTTAAATACTTGTAGCCAGATTTTGTTCATTTTCATGGTCTCCTCCTTTCTGTTGAAATTGTCCACATGCTTGTGGATTTCAATGGCTCCTCTGTGTAGTCTGACATGGTGGTTGTTGGTGTGGTCCAGCATTTCTGTGTTCTCAAATAATATGCTGTGTCCAGGCTGGTTCATCAGGTGCTCTGCTATGGCTGACTTCTCTGGTTGAAGTAGTCTGCAGTGCCTTTCATGTTCCTTGATTCATGTTGTGCGCTGCGTTTGGTGGTCCCTATGTAGACTTGTCCACAGCTGCATGGTATACGGTAGACTCCTGCAGAGGTGAGAGGATCCCTCTTGTCCTTTGCTGAATGTAGCATTTGTTGGATTTTCTTGGTGGGTTTGTAGATTGTTTGTATGTTGTGTTTCCTCATCAGCTTCCCTATGCGGTCAGTGGTTCCCTTGATGTATGGCAGGAACACTTTTCCTCTGGGTGGATCTTCATCTTTACTCTCGTGGCTTGTTCTTGGTCTTGCAGCTCTTCTGATGTCTGAGGTGGAGTATCCATTGGCCTGGAGAGCCCAGTTGAGGTGGTTCAGTTCATCTTGGAGGAGGTGGGGTTCGCAGATTCTTTTTCACGGTCTGCCAAGGCTTTGTTCAGCAAAGGACGAGAGGGATCCTCACCTCTGCAGGAGTCTACCGTATACCATGCAGCTGTGGACAAGTCTACATAGGGACCACTAAACGTAGCGCCCAAACATGAATCAAGGAACATGAAAGGCACTGCAGACTACTTCAACCAGAGAAGTCAGCCATAGCAGAGCACCTGATGAACCACCTGGACACAGCATATTATTTGAGAACACAGAAATGCTGGACCACCAACAACCACCATGTCAGACTACACAGAGAAGCCATTGAAATCCACAAGCATGTGGACAATTTCAACAGAAAGGAAGAGACCATGAAAATGAACAAAATCTGGCTACCAGTATTAAAAAACTCTAAAATGACAACAGCAAAACAGCAGAGAGGAAACAACCAGGCACATCTTAACACCTCTCAACAAAAGATTTTCCCAGGCTCAGCCAGGCCTTCAAATGCTAATGAAGGTGGTCAGTTGAAACATTCACACCTAGCTCCAGCAGAGACGAGCTCTTTGCCCCACCCCAGCCATTCCACAGATATGTAAACCCATTGTCCTATTTCCAACAGACCTCACTACCTCTGAGGATGCTTGCCATGGATGCAGGCGAAAGTCAGGAGAAATGCCTCTAGAACATGGCCCTATAGCCCAAAAAAACCCCACAACAACCTAGTGATTCCAGCCATGAAAGCCTTCCACAATACTTAGAAAATACTGTGTTTTCTGTTGGTCTTTGGCGACCCTCTGACCCCCTCTGGCGACCTCCCCAGGGGTCCTGACCCCTAGGTTGAGAAACGCTGTAGTAGAGCTTTTGCTGAATTGCTACATATAAGGTCTCCTCCAAAAGTAAGACCTAGTAAAGTTTTTGTTTGGTAACATGCTCCCCCTGGTGGCCGGAAGCTGCAATACAGACATCCTTGAAAAGAAGACCTAGTGCATCCTTGGGAGCCAAAATTATTATATTTTTGGGGAAACAGGGTACTTCAGAAACTTTGTTTTTCTGGCTGCTACAAACTAGGCTGAATTGGTTGAGACTCTGTGAGATAGTCATTCAAAAACTCTAGGAAAATGTGCTGCAGGATGTCTCTCCCACAAAAACAATGTGTTTGCAGTTTAATAAACTCCCCCCTCCCCCATGTTTTTATGATAGAACCAATTAGGAAATACCATTTATAACCCAGGAAAAAAAGTATTGTGATATATAGGCCTAGCCTGGGAAGAGGCTGATAACGAAAACCAGCTCAAACTGGTTTAGCGGGGTATTGAACTGAATGTTTGCTCGCGTTTTCTTTAGTTGTAACTTAATGTGATGATGGCAGAATTTAGTAGCAATCAAAGGCACTCACAAGGGTGGTTAAAACTGTGATTGAAACTGGCTTCTGCCGGAAGAGATAGGTCTTCAAATATGATTATATTCCGACAGCTCATTTAACTATCACATCTCTTGCAAAAAGAGGTTCCACCGAATGTGAGATCTAGGATGCGATCTTTTGATATCTCTTTTCCATCTTCTTTCCAGAGTCCAAACTATGGATTTATTATATGTCTTTTGATTATATATACAGTGTACTCTCATTTATTCAACATAAACGGGCCGGCTGGATAAGCAAAAATGTTGAATAATAAAGAGGGATTAAGGAAAAGCCTATTAAGCATCAAAATATGTTATAATGTTACAAATTAAGCACCAAAACATAACACGGTAACATTATGTAGTAATTACTAAATAACACAGTAACATTATGTAGGAATTACTGTATTTATGAATTTAGCACCAAAACATTGCAATGTATTGAAACAGCTGAGCTGTGGATCCGGGCAGGAGGCAGACTGCATTGGATAATACAGAATGTTGGATGAGTGAAGGTTGGGTAAGCGAGAATCACAGACAGAAATGAGGATTGAATGAAAAGTAATGCCTCCACCTTAGTAACTCCTCAACAGATGGCAGTACTGGTATGCGGCAGGTACTGGCTTGTTCAGTAGACTCTCCTCTACAGTTCCATTTTGGCAGGAAGCGTTAGCATTGAACAATTGTGTTGTTAAAGTGCGAAGTATGGAACCCTGTTCAAACAGTTGGTCAATGCGACTTAAGCAATGTGCAGTCATTAAATTCTTGACAGCAGAAAGTGTCACCCCAAAGGAGATTCATCAGAGAATGCAAGCTGTTTATGGTGATTGTGTTGATGTGAGTACTGTGCGTCATTGGGCAAGTAAGTATAAAAATATTGAGGTGGGATCTTCTGACTTGTGTGATGAACAAAGAGTTGGACATTCTGTGACAGCAACCACCTCGTTTCACAAGCAAAAGGTTGACAGATTGATTCAGGACAATCGTATCACTCAGAGAGAAATTTCAATCATAATCGGCATTTCACAAGAATGTGTGGGTGACATTATTGCTTTGCTTGGCTATCGGAAGATCTGTGCACGATGGGTTGTGAAAACAGAGTGTCGACTTCTTCTGTGACACCTTCAGAAAACTTGTTCATCTTTGGCAGAAATGTATCCAATTGTCTGGTGATTATGTTGAAAAGTGAATAGTGGTAGTTAAAGAGCACATTCTAAAATTATTTATGTGTTTGATTTATTAAAATATTCCCATCCAAACTCAAGTAACGAAGGTGGAGGCATTACTTTTCATTCAACCCTCATGGGTAGATAGATAGATAGGTCTAATGTTTTATCTATGAAGAGAAGCAGGTAACAAAAACATAATCATCATTACAAAGAAAGTTAATTATGCCATTAAGTGCATTTGCTTTAGAAAGGCATTTAGCAGCAGGGCATGTGCCTTGCCTTCCCGCAGCCAATTACTAAACAAAATGTGAAAATGCAAGATGCAGACAAGAGCAAAATCAAGTGCTATCATAAACAGGGGTCTTACATTCATTTGGGAAGGAGCACCTCTTCTAAAGTGCCATCTATTTCATGGTCTCCTCTGCTTTTGTTATCCTTGCAGCCAATGCGGCAAAAAAGTCGGCAATGGGAAAGCAACGTTGGTGTCGGGTCCTTTTCCCTTATGTCCCAACAAAGGAGGACGAGCTGGAGCTTAACACTGGGGACCTGGTGCAAATCCTGGAAGAGGTAAACCGCTCTGTGTGTTAGTCTGAACTTCAAAGGAATACTGAGGGATCCAGATAGAACCTTAACTACAGGATCCCACCAACTTTTCAATGAAATGAGCATTCAGATGAAGAAGAAATACACATCTCATACGTTTTACAAGTGTTTTTGTGCCCGTAGTCAGCTTTTTTCTCCTCTTTCCTTGTCCAGCTGAAATGTTTTTAAGCAGCATTGGGACTGAAAGGTAGGAGAAACTAAGTATGAGATGATCTTATTGAAATGCAATGCTTTGCCACTCAGAACTAGAAAAATGTGGTCCATTTTGTCTATAGGAAGGGACACTTTGGTTTTAGAAGTCAAAAGGCAGAAACAACTTCAGTCAGTTAAAGCAATAGGGAGGAAGTTCAACTTGAAAGTTTGCACAAAGAAATCGGATATTATTGCATTCTATCTAATGTAACATGTTTGCAATGTGGTTACAAAATGTAAGAAAATTGGAAGGGAAAATAAACTTGGCCAAAAGTCTAATGTTTTGCTCACGTTCTCCTTCCCAGATTGAAGATGGCTGGTGGCTGGGCAAGAAGCGGAGCCATATGGGAGTCTTCCCCTCCAACTTTGTGCAGGAGCTGAGCGGCCCATCGCTAGGTGATAAGTTCAAATCTAGAGGGGTTCACAGGGTTCCCATAACTCTGGGGCTTCTGTGCAATTCAGGGACCCAAGGATTTGCAGTAACTGCTTGTGGGCTGGTGTCATGGGGGGGGGGGGGGGGGCTAACCATGCTATTACGCCTGTTTCTGACAGACACCCCTTTTCTGGAGGTCAAAGGAGGTGCAGCCAAACATCGGCCCAAAATGACCAATGAAACCTTCCTCCTGAATGAGTCCGAGATGGTGAGTCCATTCTGAATTTTACCTTGAACTTTCAAGGAACGATCCCAGATCTGTTTTGGGGAGAGTTCAGGGGGGCATTGATTCCAAACCAGAATTTAATTTTCAAATTACTGTCTCTAGATGTTATTTTGGGGAAAGAGGTGTCAGGGTGGTAGTGAATCCGAGCTGGGTGTTGGGGTTCGGCCTGCGTGTGAACCTGAACCTGATTCTCTGATTGCTGAACCTGAACCTGATTCTCTGATTGTATTTCCTGATGCTACTGAACATGTATTTTGGTAATGAAAATGTTGATTCTGAGGTCAGTGGCTTGGAAAGTGAAACTACACTTTCTGATGAGAATGTTGTAGAGCCAAGCGGTGATAGCTCTCCAGAGGAGCTAACACCTGGCTTCCTTAATGAGGATAGAAAAGGACAGATTTGGAAAAACAGGAGTGAATTGCAGAGTCTGCGAAGGTCAAGCAGATTAAGGGAAAAGGAAGCTCAGGCTTCAAAGCCTGGAGGTGTGTCACGAAACAGTTTCTTCAGTTTTAAGTGCCTCTCACCGGGTTGTCTTGTTAGATCAGGCATCGTTTAGACTGAGGCATTACCTTGGCAGATTTCCCTGTTTCCCGTGGCCTACATCTCAAGAGGCTTCTAGTGCTCCTAGTACGGTTAGTGAATTGCTAACAGGTTCCAGGTTTTTACAGTATTGCTTTTGGAATTTTGACCTAATTAATGGATATTCCTGACTGCTGAATTTTACTGTGGCTTTTTGACTTTGCATTTTCTTCTATTTTGTAACCATTTTTCATCAATAAAAATGGATTCTTTTTTCCCACAGTCAAGTGTGGTGGATTGTTATCTTATGGTCTCGTTTCCTGCTCTGGGTTGCAACACTGGGTTTATCAGTTCCAAAATGTGGAATCTATTTCAAAATCAGGTTTAGGAGAGCAGTGATTCCAATTCAGGCTCTGGAATTTGTAACAGCTGCTATTATTATTATTATTACTATTGTTATTATTGTTATTATTATTATTATTATTATTATTATTATTATTATTACGCTGTGTAACACAGTGTTTGTTCCTGGGTTATAAATGTCGTTGGTTCTATCATAAAAACATGGGAAAAGTTTATTAAACTGCAAAAACGTTGTTTCTGTGGGAGAGACATCCCGCATGTCGCAACTCAGGGTAGCTTTCACCTTGCTCAAGACACCACCACACACCAAGGCTGTAGGTTTTGTAGTTTATTGAGAAAAAGCAAAATCAAAACAGAGAAATAAAGATGCAAAAGTTCAATAGGCAAAACAGAGTCTTAAATGCAAAGGCAAAGTTCCCAAGATCAAAAGGCAAATAACATGAAGCATAATCCTTTAGCAATGGACAAGAGTCCATGGTAAACAGGTAACATCAGGATCAAAATCCAAGTCCCAAAGAGGCCAGAAGCATTCCGCAAAAGCCAAGGTGATTCCACAGAAGTTAACCAGGAAAGAGCAACATTGGACTGACAGAAAATGCCTGTCGGCTTCATCATTAAATAAGTTTCCCTGACATGAACGCATTGCGTTGACCTTTGGCTTCACGTTTGCTGGCAAGACGTGTGCTTCTGAGAACTCTTAACTGTAAATGATCCTGTCTACTCATTAATTCACTATTATCTTTAAGGCTAGACAACTCATTATCTCGGCCCAGCTGGGCCTGATCACCCTGGGAACCGAAAGGAGTCTCCACGTGCAGTTGTAGAGTTTCACTATCTTTATTTAAAGGCACATTCCTTTCTCCGGGGAACAGACTTGCTGTTTCTTCCTCAGAAGCCACACTATCAGCCCTGTCTGGAACATCTACAGAAATCTGTAACCCATCAGCCTCCTCGTCATCCTGCAGAAAGTCAGGCTCAGAAGACCCAGAAGGCCCAGCATAAAGCCCAGACAGTTCAGTCTCAGACTCAGTCTCAGACTGAGCCACAACACTACAGCATATTTTGCTCTAGTTTTTCAATGAATATCTTTAGTATTGTCGAAGGCTTTCATGGCCAAAATGAATGGGTTGTTGTGCTTTTTCCGAACTGTATGGCCATGTTCCAGAAGCATTCTCTCCTGATGTTTCACCCACTTTTATAACAGGCATCCTCTGAGGTTGTTGGAAACTAGGAAAATTGTGTTTATATATCTGTGGAATGTCAGACTACACAGAGAAGCCATTGAAATCCACAAGCATGTGAACAATTTCATCAGAAAGGAAGAAACCATGAAAATGAACAAAATCTGGCTACCAGTATTAAAAAAATCTCCAAAATCATTTATTTATTTATTTGGTGCGCTTATATACCGCCAATATCTCAGCCTGTATGGCGACTCATTGCGGTTTACAGCATAATTAAAACTACAATATTACAATTTAATATAAAAATTACACTATAAAATACATACATATACATACATAGTATTGGGCCACCAATACAGTCCAGAACATCTCATTATTAACGTCAACAATCCAATTCGTCGTCCGAGGTTGCTAATCCATGAACAAACATCATCAAGTCAAGTTAGCCAAAAACTTGCTGGAACATCCAAGTTTTAAGTTTTTTCCGAAATGCCATTAGCGAGGTGGCTGATCTTATTTCCATAGGGAGGGCATTCCAAAGCCGGGGGGCCACCACAGAAAAGGCCCTATCTCTCGTACCCACGAGCCGCACCATAACATAACAGTAAATAAAGAACAACACCCCAAAACAGGGGGATTCCAGACAAGAAACAATCAGGGCCAGCTAATCACCTCCCAGGCAGTAAGAAGCCAGACCCTGAAACTGCTAGGCCATTAAATGCTAATCAAGGTGGCCAATTGAAACATTCACACCTACCTCAAACAGACAGGAATTCTTTCTCCCACCCTGGACATTTCACAGATATATAAACCCAATTTCTGTAGTTTCTAACAGACCTCACAACCTCTGAGGATGCCTGCCATGGATGTAGGTGAAACGTCAGGAGAGAATGCTTCTGGAACATGGCCATACAGCCCAGAAAACTGACAACAACTCAATAACTTGAGTTTCAACTAATTCATCATAGTTTGTGGTAGCCACAAAAATGAAGTTTCTGGAGTAGAACAACTACTTTCAAAGTAAGTGCAATGAAACAGGAAATAACAGGAACAGATTTTTTCCGCGAATTTTGTTACATAGTGTTGTCATTATTATTATTACTGTTATTATTATTTCCCTACTTGTATCTCTTGACTGAGCGGCTCTCAACTTCAAATAAAAACCATAGAGTTGATCAGTATTAAGAGTTTACTTTGGGTAGAAGATCTGATTGCAGAGCTGAATCGATTCCTGAGTTTAGTCTGAAATTTGAAGAACCGATCCAAGGTTTGGAATTTCAAAGTGGTGAATCTGCTTTGGTTTTTAGTCTGAACTTTAAAGGAACTATCCCAAAGCATGAACCCCTTTCCTTGTTTTCTTTTAGATGGAGAGTCCATTGGAGAAATCAGCAACTTCTCCTTCAGAGCCAGAGACTCCCAAAGTCCAGACCCCGCAGGAACGGGGTGAGTGGACCCAATGGTTACATAATGGGGCAGATGGGAATGGCAGTATCTGCTTTCTATTTTGGAGCAGAGAGCAATGCATCCAGTGGTATAGATACCAAATATTTCTTCAGGTTATGGGCCCAGCATACTTCTGCTTCCAATTTCTTCCAAAGTAGGAGGTTCTTATGGCGGCACTGGGTCGCCTTTGTTTCCAGCTGCTCCATATACAAGTCTTGATGTTTCTTCCCTTCCATGACGTGGCCATATACTGTATTGATTTGAGTCTCATGCGCAATCAAATCTATTTCCAAAACCCTGAAACCAAAATAAAATATTTGCTGCCAAATGTAATTCATAACAGCTAAAAGTGCATTACAGTGGCTGCCTGATTATAATTCCATCTTCAAAACACAAAAGTGTTAGAACAGCACTTCCAGCAATGGAAAGGAAAACATTGGAATGCATCTTTTATGTAGAATGAATCTACTTTAATTAGGTTGGTTCAATGTTATGGAGTCGTGGGGGCTGGAATTTTACAAGGCCTCGAGCCTTCTCTGCCAAAGAAGAGAGCTTTTGCACAATTAAAACTTGTGCGCCAGTTGCGCCCGTACCTTGGGAAGTCAGATCTGGCCACAGTAGTCCACGCTCTTGTTACATCCCGAATAGATTACTGCAACGCACTCTACGTGGGGTTGCCTTTGAAGACTGTTCGGAAACTTCAATTAGTCCAACGGGCGGTGGCCAGATTACTCACTGGAGCGTCATACAGGGAACATACCACCCCTCTGTTATGTCAGCTCCACTGGCTGCTGATCCAGTTCCAAGCACAATTCAAAGTGCTGGTTTTGACCTACAAAACCCTATACGGCTCCGGCCCAGCGTACCTGTCGGAACGCATCTCCTTCTACGTCCCACCTCGGAGTTTAAGATCTTCTGGGGAGGCCCTGCTCTCGGCCCCACCTCTATCACAAGTGAGATTGGTGGGGACGAGGAGCAGGGCTTTCTTGGTGGTGGCCCCTCGCCTGTGGAATTCGCTTCCTGGGGAAATTAGGTCATCAACATCCTTCCACTCATTTAGAAGGAAACTAAAAACACTGATACGGGACCAGGCCTTTGGGTAATCTGGCAGACAGACAAAGGACAATGACGACTAGAATTGGATAGGATTTGACAATGCGGAATGAACTACGGATTCTGAGCTTGGCGAACGTTGATCATTAGATTGGTTTTTATTAATTGTGATGTATAACTGGATTGTTTTAATTGTTTTATAATTGTTGTTGATATATGTTTTATCTTATTATCTGTTTTGCTAGCATCGAATTGTGCCTTTTGTAAGCCGCCCTGAGTCCCCCCTCGGGGGTTGAGAAGGGCAGGGTAGAAATGCACGAAATAAATAAATAATAAATACAGGATACTAATGACCAAACTACAAATCCCAGGATCAAATAGGATGGAGCCATGGCCATTAAATTAGAGAAGGCATCCCTCAAAGAGGACCTCCTAAAAGAGCTTCCCCGTTGGCTTTATTTATTTATTTAATGGGTTGTTGTAGTTTTTTTCGGGCTATATGGCCATGTTCTAGAGGCATTCTCTCCTGACGTTTCGCCTGCATCTATGGCAAACATCCTCAGAGGTAGTGAGGACCTCACTACCTCTGAGGATGCTTGCCATAGATGCAGGCGAAACATCAGGAGAGAATGCCTTTAGAACTTGGCCATGTAGCCCTTAAAAACCTACAACAACCCAGTGATTCCGGCCATGAAACCCTTTGACAATACATATTTATTTAATGTATTTGTATACCGCCCTTCTCAGCCCTCAGGGGACTCAGGGCGGTTTACAATGCCAACGATTCGATGCCCCAAAATACCATAAAACATTTAAAAACATTAACACATAATATAAAACCGTAACAAGAATATTAAAAACATAGATAATTTGTATCTCTTAATAAAAAACATTGTTCAGTTGTTCCAATTCCTGTGTCTTTTACCTTGCATTTTCAAACGCTTGCTCAAACAACCAAGTCTTGACTCTTTTCCGAAATGTTAAGAGGGAGGGGGCCAATCTAATGTCCCCAGGAAGAGCGTTCCATAGGCGAGGGGCCACCACTGAGAAGGCCCTAGATTCAGCATGACTTGAATCTAACGTGCACCCTCATTTTGGTGAGGTCATGTAGCTCCAAAAGGTGAGTATTAGATTCGAGTCAATAGGGCATGTACCTTTGCCTGTACCCCTGACTCGCCTTGTGCTTTCCTTTGCAGCCCCAAGCAACGATGTGCCTCGATACTGTCGGGCCATGTTTGACTTTGAACCGGAGCATGAAGACGAGCTGCTCCTCCGCAAAGGGGACCTGATTCTCCTGCTGAACAAGGTGGGCCTCTTGGGGGAAGAGGACAGGTTTGGAGGGGCCATAGGGTCTGATAGAGCCCCACTAAAAGTCCCCTCTGGAAGGGACACAGCTGCAGGACCAGAATCGTCCGGCGCATGGTCCGGAAGTGTGTCCCTTGGAACTCTCTTCCAGCTCCGATGGGATTCCTGCTGCTCTTGGAGAAGAGGGGAGGGATGTGTTTCCTTTCCATCTGGGAAGGCACCCTTACCCTCTTTTGGAGCCCCCCTCTCCCCATTTCAGCATCTTCTCTTTTTCCTTTTGCAGGAGACTGTGGACCTAGGCTGGTGGGAAGGAGAGAGCCGGGGCAAGAAGGGCCTCTTCCCAGACAACTTTGTCATGCCACTGACCAACTTGGATCCTGAGGTAAGAAGTACTCAGATAGACAGGCACCTCGCTTCATTCCAGGGACAAATAGGAGGCGGATGGGTCCTGGTTTTGGAGGCAAAGCAGGATTGGGGAGCCCAGGAAGGACTCATATAGAGCAGTGTTTCTCAACCCTCCTAATGCTGCAACCCCTTAATATGGTTCCTCATGTTGTACTGACTCCCAACCATTAAATTATTTGTGTTGCTACTTCATAACTGTAATTTTGCTACTGTTACGAATTGTAATGTAAATATCTGATATGCAGGATGTATTTTCATTCACTGGACCAAATTTGGCACAAATACCCAATACGCCCAAATTTGAGTTCTGGCAAGGTTAGGGGGAGATTGATTTTGTCATTTGGGAGTTGTAGTTGCTGGGATTTATAGTTAATCTACAATCAAAGAGCATTCTGAACTCCACCAATGATGGAATTGAACCAAACTTGGCACACAGAACTTCCACGACCAAAAGAAAACCTTGAAGGGCATTGACCTTGAGTTTGGGAGTTGTAGTTCACCTACATCCAGAGAGCACTGTGGACTCAAACAATGATAGATCTGGACCAAACTTTGCATGAATACTCAATGTGAATACCAATGGAGTTTGGGGAAAATAGACCTTGATGAGTTGTGGTTGCTGGGATTTATAGTTCACCTTCAATCAAAGAGCATTCTGAACCCTACCGATGATAGAATTGGGCCAAACTTCCCACACAGAACCCCCAGAACAATCAGAAAAAACTAGAAGATCATTGACCTTGAGTTTGGGAGTGGTAGTTCACCTACATCCATAGAGCACTGTAGACTCAAACAATGATGGATCTGGACCAAACTTGGCAGAGATACTCAATATGTCCAAATGTGAACACTGGTGGAATTTGGGGGAAATCGATCTTGACATTTGGGAGTTGTAGTTGCTGGGATTTACAGTTCACCTACAATCAAAGAGCATTCTGAACCCTACCAATGATAGAATTGGGCCAAACTTCTGACACAGAATCCCCATGACCAACAGAAAATACTGTATTTTCTGATGGTCTTTGGGGACTCCTCTGACACCTCCTCCTGAACCCCCCAGGGGTCCTGACCCCCAGGTTGAGAAACACTGGGATAGAACTTGCCAAAATTTCCATCTTGGTTTTTAGACATGCATCCTTTCGCGACACGGTCTTGTGTGTCATTCTAGTGTGCCTTTCTTGCAATTGCTGTTGCGCCTCTCTTTATGTGAGAGCGGGTGCCATCTGAACCAGAGTGACTCAGCAGCCCTCTTCCTTCCTTCCTTCGCTCAAAGTCTCCTCTCTTTGCAGATCAGAAGTAAAGTGCCAGTGCGAAAGAAGGAGGCTGGTAAGTAACAAAACTCCACTTCTTTGTGAAAAAGAGCGGCAACCATTGCCACCTTTCCTCCTGGAATGCTTTTCCCAATCAGAGGCCATATTGACCCATTTTTTAAGGAAACCAGAGCTTCTAAGTGGCTATTTTGAAGTAGAGTAGGTCCATGGACTAAAGTGGTGAGTACTGGAGAATCCCATTGGTTCAATGGCTTCACCTTGGTTGGAGCTCCCATTGGACCCTTTGGACCATGGCAGGCCTTGCTCTCCTTTTGATGAGGTTGGAGGAGGCATATAAAAGAGGCCAGGCTTAGCATCGCGGGTTAAACTACTAAGCTGCAGAAAATCTTGCCAATTGAAAGGTTGGCAGTTGAAGCCCGGGTTGGGGTGAGCTCCTGCCGTCAGCCCCACCTTCTGCTCACCTAGCAGATCGAAAACAGCAATGTGAGTAGATAAATAGTTACTGTTTTAAGCAGGGAGGTAGTAAAAGGCGCCCATAAGGACATCACTCATAAAAACACTGAAAAACACAATAGAAAGGACTTAAAAAGCCAAATAATAAAAAATACATTACAACGCATGCACAAAACCACATATATACATACATACACACATATAAACAAATATATATACACACATATATGCATATATACACACACAAAACACATATACACAGACTGGGCCACAGCAACGCGTGGCAGGGGAAGGCTAGTCTATATAAATAAAAAATGTAATCTTCATTTGTGGGATTAACATAACTCAAAAACGACTGGACGAATTGACACCAAATTTGGACATAATGCACCTATCAGGCCAACGAGTGACCATCACTCATAAAAACACTGAAAAACACAGTGGAAGGGGCTTAAAAGGCCAAAATTTAAACAATACATTACAACACATGCACAACACTACATATATAGACGCAAACACATATATAAATTAATATATACACACACAAAACACATATACACAGACTGGGCCACAGCAATGTGTGGTAGGGGACAGCTAGTTTTGTATAGCGACATTGAATGTTTGCTGTATATGTGTTCTATAATCTGCCCTTAGTCTCCTTGGGGAGATAGAGTGGAATATAAATAAATAAATAAATTATTATTATTAATAATAATAATAATTTGAATCCATTATTGACTGACACATAGGAAAATCCCATTGAGGCAGTGAGTCTATTAAATTAAAAAATATATTTTCCTGGTTTGAAAATGCTAATTCCTGTTTAATTGTGCGATACTTACTTTGAGAGTAGTTGTTCTACTCCAGAAACTTTGGTTTTGTGGCTGCCACAAATGATGTTGAATTGGTTGGAAAACAATTGAAAAACTCTTGCAAAATGTCCCGCCCACAAAAACAAAGTTTTTGCAGTTTAATAAATTTCCCCATGTTATTATGATAGAACCAATTAGGAAATGACATTTATAACTCAGGAAGAAAAATTGTGTTACATAGTGTTATTGATGAAGTAACTTTCAAGTCCATTTGTCCTTCTTAATGTCCCAAGAGAGAAGGGCGACCTTTTGTTTGCACTGTGCAATTAGAGCACTTTGGTCCTGTTTTAACTGCCACGTGTGGCAGAATAAAATCACGCATAGTTCATGTCTTTACCAATCCACACACTGTCTTGCTAGGGAAAAGATATGCCACGCAAATGATCAGTAAAGAATAAGGTGTTTGATCTTTGTTATACAGAGCAACATATATATAGTCATGAAAACAGTTGTTTTGACTCACACAATGTCTTTTGAGAGAGATTCATGTGCAGAAGCCAAGAAGCAATAATATACCAAGTGTCATGGCAAGCTCCTGCACAGATAACTTAAACATGTAACTGTTGCCAAAATCCCAGGCTCAGCTAGCCTCTGGGTATGGCCCAACCAATCAGCAATTTTCCAGTTAAACACGCTCACCAACTGATTTTTACATGCTCCAACATCATGGTGATGTATTTGGATTTTGAAAGATATTTGAAATTATCTGCTACAGAGTTCTGGTTCCGTAGCAAACTACACATCCCACTAGAATTGTATTTCCTAATTACATTTCAATTTCTTCTTCTTTTTTGACAAAGACAAAGCAACCAAAGGAGCCAAAAAGCCCTGCCAAGGCAGCAAGGTGGAGATGAGACCCTTTGGAGACCTCCTCAAAGGTGAGCCTGGCTTCACTTTGCAGGCTGTAAGGAGGGAAGGAGAAGGGGGCTTGCTTTCCAGGTGCTTTTCTCACCAAATTCTTGCCTGGTTCATTGGCGGAGTGGTGCCCTTCCTTTTCCTGCTGTGGTTTTGGCGCTTGCTTCAGTTTGGAGAGGATCAGATTGGATGCCTCTAAAAAACAGAACAGTGTTTGCAAGATCCGGTTGTCGGGGAGTGTTGCAATGGCCCGAAACTCACTCGGAATCATGACTTGTGTTTAATGGATGCTAAAAATGGAAACATGCTATGGGCAAGTCCTAGTCCTTTCCAAGCTTTAAAGAGAGGCCATGGCAAACCCAAGGAGAAGGCTGGAATCAGCCTGAAGACACTGAACAACAAATAGCCTCCAGGTTTTCCCTGTTTGAAAAGGGTTGCTGTGAATTTTCCGGGCTGTATGGCCATGTTCCAGAAGCATTCTCTCCTGATGATTTAGATGAAGGGTTAGAAGGCAGGATCATCAAGTTTGCAGACGACACCAAATTGGGAGGGATAGCCAATACTCCTGAGGACAGGAGCAGGATTCAAAACGATCTTGACAGATTAGAGAGATGGGCCAAAACTAACAAAATGAAGTTCAACAGGGACAAATGCAAGATACTCCACTTTGGCAGGAAAAAAACGAAATGCAAAGATACAGAATGGGGATGCCTGGCTCGAGAGCAGTACGTGTGAAAAAGATCTTGGAGTCCTCGTGGACAACAAGTTAAACATGAGCCAACAATGTGATGTGGCGGCAAAAAAAGCCAATGGGATTTTGGCCTGCATCAATAGGAGCATAGTGTCTAGATCTAGGGAAGTAATGCTACCCCTCTATTCTGCTTTTGTTAGACCACACCTGGAATATTGTGTCCAATTCTGGGCACCACAATTCAAGAGAGATATTGACAAGCTGGAATGTGTCCAGAGGAGGGCGACTAAAATGATCAAGGGTCTGGAGAACAAGCCCTATGAGGAGCGGCTTAAGGAGGTGGGCATGTTTAGCCTGAAGAAGAGAAGGCTGAGAGGAGATATGATAGCCATGTATAAATATGTGAGAGGAAGCCACAGGGAGGAGGGAGCAAGCTTGTTTTCTGCTTCCTGGAGACTAGGACGCGGAACAATGGCTTCAAACTACAAGAGAGGAGATTCCATCTGAACAATAGGAAGAACTTCCTTCCTGCGAGAGCTGTTCAGCAGTGGAACTCTCTGCCCCGGAGTGGGTGGAGGCTCCTTCTTTGGAGGCTTTTAAGCAGAGGCTGGATGGCCATCTGGGGGTGCTTTGAATGCAGTTTTCCTGCTTCTTGGCAGGGGGTTGGACTGGATGGCCCATGAGGTCTCTTACAACTCTTTGATTCTATGAAGCATTTTCTCCTGATGTTTCACCCACATCTATGGCAGACATCCTCAGAAGTTGTGAGGTCTGTTGGAAACTAGGCAAGTAGGGTTTATATATCTCTGGAATGATGTCCAGTTTGAGGCAAGTGTGAATGTTGCAGTTGGCCACCTTGATTAGCATATGATGGCCCTTGCATCTTCAAAGCCTGGCTGGTTGCTGCCCAGGGATCCTTTGTTGGGAGGTGTTAGCTGACCCTTGTCTGGAATTCCTGGTTTCTGAGTGTTGCTCTTTATTTACTGCCCTGATTTTAGATTTTTAAAAAATACTGGTAAGCCAAAGCTTGTCTGGTGGAAGGCTGCCATTTGCCACTGTTGGCTCTAAGCCTCTTGTGTAAGTGGCTTAATTTCCTAGAGAGTAGTATGCTGTTTTATACACACAGCCATTCAAGGCTGACCTGCTGAGCCTATAAGATCAAGATGGATTGGGTGCCTTTGCGGCCTGGGCACACGGCTCTATTGATTTCCCACAAATTCTCTCTACATCTGAATATCATTGGCACGAAGACCAGAAAAACATACTTTCTTGGGCGATAAGTGACAATATGGGAGTAGAAGGAGGGACTGTGGGATTGCAAAACCCCAAAGATGGGGCTCTGGGAAGAACAGGAAATGCTGCAGAGAGGGAAATGTTCTGGGGATGGAAGGAGGCCAAAGAATGGTGGTTACCCTGGATGCGTGGATGTGGTTTCTGAAGGAGGCGTAGGGTAACTTTTGCACTCTTCGGATTCCCTCTAATAGTCCCAAAGGGTGCATCCACACTATAGAATATATATATATATATATATATATATATATATATATATATATATATTCATATTCGTTTGTGGGAGAAACATAACTCAAAAACCACTAGACGAATTGACACAAAATTTTGACACAATACACCTAACAGTCCAACGAGTGTCCATTGCCCCTAAAAACGTCAAAAAACCACACAAAAAACGAGTGGAACAGACTTAACCCATCCCCCCAAAATACACCATATATACATATACACATACGCTCACATACATATGTACACATGCACACATTCATACACACACACGTATATATGCACAAGCACACACAAATATACATATACACACACACACATATATATATACACATGCACACATACATACACATATACATAAACACATGCAAACATGCACACACATATACACATACATACATACACACAAATGCATATAGACAAGCACACACATATACACAATATACATACACACATATAAACACACAAATACATAAATTCACAAATATATACATATACACACATATATACGCACACACATATACACAAACACACATATATACATATATACACACATATAAACACATATAAACACACACACAACACATATACACAGACAGGGCCACAGCAAGGCGTTGTAGGGGATGGCTAGTAATATAATAATATACTTTTTTAATATTCCGCCTAGCTCCCCGAGGCAATACATAGACAGACAATACATAGACAGAGTCAAGGATTCCCTCTTTCATTTTTGGCATCTGGAGGCTGTGCTCAACTCGGCCATGGGGAGGTGCTGTTGACCCATTTTCTATGTTGAGGGGCCTATTGTCCATGGATGCCGGCCTGATCGAATTGCCGGCATGATTTCAGGGGTGTCTTTTACCTCCTCACCACAGCAGTACCTATTTATCTACTCACATTGCTGTTTTCAAAGTCCTAGGTAAGCCGAAACTAGGGCTGACAGCAAGAGCTCACCCCAAGCCACGGCTTGAACTGCCAATCTTCCAATTGGCAAGATTTTCTGTAGCTGGCAGTTCAATCCATTGCACTAACCACATTGAACTGCCATGGATTCAATGTAGGGAACCCTGAGAGTTGTAGTTTGCACTCTTGGGAAGACACAACCAAAGATGTTGTCAAACTGCAGCTCCCATGATCCATAACATTGAGCCTTGGCAGTTCAAGTAGTGTCAAATTGCATTCATTATGCATTGCAGATGCACCCTTTGGGAAGCCAGAATGGCTCCCTCCTTGGTGTCCTTCTGGCAGCAATCATAGAATCATACAACTGGAAGAGACCTCGTGGGCCATCCAGTCCAACCCCCTGCCAAGAAGCAGGACAATCACGTTCAAAGCACCCCCAATAGATGACCATCCACTCTCTGTTGAAGAGCCTCCATAGAAGGAGCCTCCACCACACTTCGGGGCAGAGAGTTCCACTGCTGAACAGCTATCAGGGACAGAAAGTTCTTCCTAATATTCAGGTGGAATCTCCTTTCCTGTAGTTTGAAGCCATTGCTCCGCGTCCTAGTCTCCTGGGCAGCAGAAAACAAGCTTGCTCCCTTCTCCCTATTACTTCCACTCACATATTTATACATGGCTATCATATCTCCTCTCAGCCTTCTCTTCTTCAGGCTAAACATGCCCAGCTCCTTAAGCCACTCCTCATAGGGCTTGATCTCCGGACCCTTGATCATTTTAGTCGCCCTCCTCTGGACACATTCCAGCTTGTCAATATCTCTCTTCAATTGTGGTGGCCAAAACTGGACACAGTATTCCAGTCTGAAGCCTTTTTTATTCATACAGGCTTGATTTTTAGTTTTGAATACGTTTTAATGAATTTTAACGGAATTTTTAAAAATACCCATTATATTTAATTCTGTTTTGTCGTTTGTATACTTGCATATTTTAAATTACATTGCAGTGCTTTTAGTGTAAGCTGCCTTTAGTTGTCTTATGGAGAGCAAAAGCAGGGTGTAAATAAACAAAATAATAATAATAATAATAATAATAATAATAATAATAATGTGCCAATCTGCATCAATTCCCCAATATAATGATGCACCTGAAGTCATTCTGCCTTGCTTTACAGACTCTAAGGAGCAGAAGAAGATGGAGACACCCAAAGCGAGTCCCTTCCCGGCCAAGAAGGCGGCCCCTCCCCCGCCCCCTGTTCCGGCCAAGGCCAAGCCGGCTTCCGCCGTGCCCCAAAAGTAAGTCTGGAAGGGGATGCATGGGGCACATGCATTTCAATGGCATTTCAAACAGAGAAGCCATTGAAATCCACAAGCATGTGGACAATTTCAACAGAAAGGAAGAGACCATGAAAATGAACAAAATCTGGTTACCAGTATTAAGAAACTCTAAAATTACAACAGCAAAACAGCAGAGAGGAAACAACCAGGCACATCTTAACACCTCTCAACAAAAGATTTTCCCAGGCTCAGCCAGGCCTTCAAATGCTAATGAAGGTGGTCAGTTGAAACATTCACACCTAGCTCCAGCAGAGAAAAGTTCTTTGCCCCACCCCAGCCATTCCACAGATATATAAACCCATTGTCCTAATTCCAACAGACCTCACTACCTCTGAGGATGCTTGCCATAGATGCAGGCGAAACGTCAGGAGAAATGCCTCTAGAACATGGCCCTATAGCCCGAAAAAACCCACAAGAACCTAAGTAAAGGTTTCTTCTTGACATTAAGTCTAGTCGTGTCTGACTCTGGGGGGTGATGCTCATCTCCATTTCAAAGGTGAAGAGCCGGTGTTGTCCATAGACACCTCCAAGTCATGTGGCCAGCATGACTGCATGGAGCGCCATTATTTTCCCATTGGAGAAAATAACAAACTGCCAAGTTGGCAGAAGCTGGGGCCAACAGTGGGAGCTCACCCCGCTCCCTGGATGTGAACTGCTGACCTTTCAGTCAGCAAGTTCAGTAGCTCGGCAGCTGTTAGGAATTGTGGGATTTGAAGACCAAAACATCCAGAGGGCCGAAGTTTTCCCATGACTGGTTTAGATGGAATGGATAAAAATTGGCAAAGCCTATGTAAGAAAATTGTGCCCATGGTTAAAGATATCGAGAAAATACGTTGTCTGGGTGATGGGTGGTGAGGATGGAAGGATATTAACAATGAAAAATTAATAACAAATGTTATTGGGGGGGGGGGAGCTCCTTGCCATCCCCTCATTTCAACTCTGGTGATGTTCCAGGTCCACCAATGCCCCTGTTTCCTTCCCTGCCACCCTTGTGGGAAAGGCCAAAGCCAAAGGGACAGGTAAGTGTCTTCTTGCTGCATTTATCCCCATTTTCCTGCTCCCTTTTGGGGCAGGATATCTCCTTCATTGGCTCAACGGGGGCCAAACGTGTCCTGGTTTGCACCGCAGGGCTCTTAGGTTAGTTCTCTTACAAAAGGAAGGCTTCCTCACATGGGAACCTGCTTATGTTCATCTCTTTGCAGAAACCGACACTTTGGATACAGTTGTGACTCCTGGGGCCAAACTGACCCATCCCACAGCCAACCGCCCCAAGATGCCCGGCAAGAGGCCTCCCAACCAGCTGGTGAGTCCTTCTGGCCCTTCGTTGGCCCCAATGGCTGCAAACATACAAGACATAATGTTGTTCAGACAGATAAAGAGGAAGGAATTGGGGCTTCAAAGCCTGAGAGACTGATGGATAGTTATTTCAATGAGGGAAATGAGGGAATGTCAGAGCAAGATTCTGTCTGTGAGACGGAGTTTGAAAGTGGAACTGTTCTGGGAGTTCAGCAGACAGGGAGAGGATCTTTTGCCCACAAGGAGCTTAGCAATCCCTGATAAAGACCTGGCAGACCAAGATAGCTCGTCTGAGGGAACAGCTGGGTTAGACAGGGATATCAGGCTGGATCTGAGGGAGAAAAACATCAGGCGCAGGAAAGAATCCATAAGAAAGAAGTACAGAGAAAGTTTCACAAGCCAGAACCTCAAGGTCAAAGAAAGCCTTCATGTTTTGCAGCCCTTAAATTAGAAAGCGTCTCATTGAGAGTTCAGATCAGGCAACACTGCTTAATAGTAAGGATATCCTGTTTCCAGTCCTGTTTCCAGTTCAAGTTCCTGGGAGTTTTGATTCAGGTTTTAAGAAATTATGATAGTCATGGTTTTTCTGGATTCATGTTCATGTTTTGATTCTTGTTTCCTTGGATTATGCTCATGTTATGATTGTTTTCCTGTACCATTTGGATTATTGCCTTGGAAGTGTTTCACTCCTCACAGCTTGGTTGGGTTTTTACATATTGACTACCTTTGGTGATTACCTGTTGGATTTTGCCTTTCTTATTCCTTTTTGGTGGGTTTTTCCCCCCATTTTTATATGTACTCTCTTCAATAAACTATTTTGCTACTGCTTTTGGATTCTTGGTTGGTGTTAAGGACAAGGTGAACTGTAACACATATAATATTCCAGTGTCTATACTTCCTCCGGGCCCAAGGTAGTGGCAACTGATGCAACCTCTTTTGTGTTGTCGGTTGCAGGTTGAGAAAGGAGCTGTTCACCCCTCAGCAGAAAATCCCCAAAACCCTGAGCAGGTGAGATGCGGGTTGGGAAGCCTTTTGATACAGGTAAGCCCCTGTGGCTTTGCATCTCCAGGGCTTCCCTTCAGAGGGGCTTTGGGCTACATCTCCTCCACAATCTCCCCATCATCTGTCTCCTGCTTCCATGGTTCTTGCAGCGGTCCCCCCATCCAGTGTCTGAAACCCTTCCAATTGAGGAATCATTGACATCTGTGGACGACTTCAAGGCTGAGCTCCAGACACTGAGGGGCCTCATGGACCTGATGCAAACCCAGCATCGGTGAGTCTGAGGGACACCCCATCCCCCAAAACGAAGAGCCAGGAAATAAATATAAATACAAGTATATCAAAGTATTTATGCATGCTTGTCTGTACCACAAAGGCTGTCACTAGATGAAGTGTCCCTCCGCGATGCCACTGAATTGGCTGTCGTTGAGTGAAGTGTCCCTCTACGGGTCACTGAACTGGATTTCACTAGGTGAAGTGGCCCTCTATGAGTTGCTGAATTAGCTGTCGCCAAGCGAAGTGGGCCTCCACGATATCATGGGATGGGCTGTCGTTAGGTGAAGTGGCCTTCCATGATGTCATTGAACTGGCTGTTGCTAGGTGAAGTGGCCCTCTGTGATGTCAAAGTTGTTGCCTATGTGCAATCTATATACTGTAACCCCCTTTCTCCTCCTTCTCTTCCTCTTCTTTCTCTTGTAGGAAAGAAATGGAAGAGTTGAAGGCAGAGATGAGCCAAGAACAGGCCAAAAGGGAAGCTTTGCAGGTAAGAGAAGCTGAATGGTGGCTGTTGCCCATTTGGGGGGGGGGGGGGGCAATTGACACTGGGTTTTTTGGGGGGGGGGAAGCTGTACAGGATTTAATGTATTTAAATATTATATGTTTAAAGGGTTATTTTTTTTAAAAAATCTCTTATGTGAATGCATTTACTTTGCTTTAATTTGCATGGTGTCATATTGATTATTAGTCAGCCTATGTCCAAATGTCAGAAGAACGAGGGAATAAAAAGAAATGTGGCATTTCTTTGATTTTAAGATGCACTTTCCTCCATATAAACATCTCTAAAAGTTGTGTGTGCCTTAGAATCCTACACACATCTGTACATACATATGCACCCATACACATACACACATGTAAACATACGTACACACATGCATACATACACACATATACATATATATATATATATATATATATATATATATATATATATGTACACACATTTATTTATTTATTTACAACATTTATATGCCGCCCTTCTCGCCCTGAAGGGGACTCAGAGCAGCTTACAAGTTACATATATACATACAATATTATTAGCATAGCACCATAACAGTTTTGTATATTACTATATTGTACTATACCATTAAACTGTAATATTATTAGTAATATTACATGTAATATAAAATATATAATTATAATATCGTATTATTACATTTACACACTTATACACACATAAACATGCGCACACACATACATACACACATATACATGCATACTAATGTATACACACATATACATACATATACAGGCGTACATACACACATAAACATACATACATACATGCATACATACACACATATATACCGTACATATATATATGCATGTGTACAACATTTACACACATAAGCATGGATACACACAAAGATACACACATTCACATGCATACATACTGACGTATACACACACACACACACATATATATACACATACATATACATGCAAATATACAGACATATATAGTACAACTCTTGCACTTGGCCCTGCCACAGGTTTTTAAATGCATCTTGTCATTACTGTATTGTTGTTGTTTTTTTGGGGTTTTTTGCTTTGTTATGAGTTATTTATTGTTGTATTGATGTTGTTATGTTTTTATGATGTATTTGGGCTCGGCCTTTTGTAAGCCGCACCGAGTCCTGCGGGAGATGGTAGTGGGGTATAAATAAAGGATTATTATTATTATTATTATTATTATTATTATTATTATATGCATACACACATGCATACATACATACATACACCTGCTGTGTTTGCTTTTCTTGCAGGCTGACATTGAGCACTTGAGGCAAGTGCTGGCCATTCCAGGGCTGATGTACCAGGCATCTAAGAAGCCCAGCCCTGCTCTGAATCTGGATCTGGCGGATCCCCAGGGCTCGCCATTCACTCAGCATTCATTCATGGTTCCCACCAAGGACTGACCCAGTTGGGCAAAGATACCTTCATTTCCTGGACCACGTTGGATCTGAGGAGGGGCAGGAGCAAGAAGACCACAGTGGTCCATGGACATTCAAGGCTAATGCCACTTTCTTGGATCCTTTGGGAGTCACAAATGGAAGGCTCCTTCCTGCAAGAGGGTCTCCTGGACTCAACTCTCAAGTCTCCATGGCATCTGGACTAGGCTGAGATAGGAAAAAGACCATCATAGGAAGTTGGGGAGATACATCTCCATGTTAAGCTCCTGCAGCTCCTCCCCATTGGAAACTCTTGGACAGAAACCCATTGTTAGCCCCATGAAATGAATAGAATTTGTCCACCTGATCATGTAGTAGGTCTACTCTAATCAAGATGACTCAAATCCCCCCCAAAAAAACCAAGGTTTCCTTAAAAAGGACCCTTACATACTGGTCCAGGTGAGGAGTTCAGCTTAGCTCCTGCAGCATCTCCCAGTAGGAAGACCCATTTAGTCCTCATTAGAATAGGCCCTTTGACTACCTTGAATGTTCCTTTGTGTGGAGTGGGTTTACTCTAATTAATGCTACCCAGACCCCAAAACCCAAGGTTTCCTTAAGGAGGATCCTTGCAGAACAACATGAGAAGCCGAGGAGGCACGTCTCTATATTAAGCTCAGCTTGACTCCTGCAGTGCCTCCCAATTGGAAACCCTTGGCCAGAGACCCATTAGTCCTCACTGAAGTATGTCCATTGAATGCATTGAATTTGGCCATGTGTCAGTTCAGTGGATCTAATCAATACGATCCCAGGTCTCCTACAGGAGGAGCCTTATGGAATGATGATCCGCTTTCTTTGTGGGAAGGAAGTTCATCCTATGCTTCTCTCTTTTTTAGTCTCGTAACCAAGTCAGTCATTCTTTTGACTTATTCTTTTAAGGTGACACTTTTTAACTTAAGAATAAAAAAACCCAATATATATATGTGTGTGAATCTGTCATTTATATTTCATCCAACTGGTGGGGAAACGTTGCACAACGGTCAGGATCACAGAGAGATTTTGGTGTCTGTGGAAATCAGGAGATCCCATCTGGATACTGATTTCTCCTCCTCTATGACTCCACTTTAATGCCTTAGTGACATCCTATAGATTGTATTGTTGATTAGCTGGGATCACTGGGATGTTGTGTAGTTTCCAGGCAATATGATCATGTTCTAGATCAGTGGTTCTCAACCTGTGGGTCCCCAGATGTTTTGGCCTTCAACTCCTAGAAATCCTAACAGCTGGTAAACTGGCTGGGATTTCTGGGAGTTGTAGGCCAAAACACCTGGGGACCCACAGGTTGAGAACCACTGTTCTAGATGTTTCTCCTGCATCTGTGGCTGGCATCTTCAGAGGATCTGATGGCAGTCAAGCAAGTGGAGTATATATACAAGGGGCATTCATTCATTAAAGATTTCCATTGATCCACTTCCTGTGGACTTAGAGCAATGAAACTTATAGAATAGAATCATAGAATCAAAGAGTTGGAAGAGACCTCATGGGCCATCCAGTCCAACCCCATTCTGCCAAGAAGCAGGAATATTGCATTCAAATCTCCCCTGACAGATGGCCATCCAGCCTCTGTTTAAAAGCTTCCAAAGAAGGAGCCTCCACCACACTCCGGGGCAGAGAGTTCCACTGCTGAACGGCTCTCACAGTCAGGAAGTTCTTCCTAATGTTTAGATGGAATCTCCTCTCTTGTAGTTTGAAGCCATTGTTCCGCGTCCTAGTCTCCAAGGAAGCAGAAAACAAGCTTGCTCCCTCCTCCCTGTGGCTTCCTCTCACATATTTATACATGGCTATCATATCTCCTCTCAGCCTTATCTTCTTCAGGCTAAACATGCCCAGCTCCTTAAGCCGCTCCTCATAGGGCTTGTTCTCCAGACCCTTGATCATTTTAGTCGCCCTCCTCTGGACACATTCCAGCTTGAATTCAGACTGACAGAGTTTTGGAGCACGATGCTCCTGACCACACAATCGTGTTAAAAAACAAAGTATGAATCGTCGATGTTGCAATCATCGACAGCAGGATTGAAGGGAAAGCTGACATGATACGAGGATTTAAAGATCGAACTGCAAAGACTCTGGCACAAGCCAGTCAAGGTGGTCCCAGTGGTGATTGGCACACTGGGTGCAGTGCCTAAAGACCTGGGCCTGCACTTAAACAAAATCGGCGCTGACAAATTACCATCTGCCAGCTGCAAAAGACTATCTTACTGGGATCTGCACACATTATTTGCTGATACATCACACAGTCCTAGACACATGGGAAGTGTCCAATGTGTGATCCAATACAACAGCCAGCAGAGTGATCTTGTTTGCTGTATATCAATCTTGTTGTGTTTCAAATAATAATAATAATAATAATAATAATAATAATAATAATAATAATAATGCACTTTATTTATATTCCACCCTTCTGCCCTAGGGGACTCAGAGTGGATTATAGCATTTACATACATAGGCAAACATTCAATGCCTTTACAATCATATATAATGAGACACACAAACACAAACAAAGGCAAAGGCTTCTCCTTTAATTTCTGGCTTCTGGAAGTGGTGCTCATCTCTGACTCTAGGAAGGTGCTTTCTCCATTTTTAAGCAGCGGAACCTGCGCTGCCACCTTCTGGTTGTGTGGCCAGCAAGATTGCTTGGAGCGTCTCTGTGCCTTTTCCTGCCAAAGCGGTACCTATTTATTTGCATGTTTTCGAACTGCTAGGCTGGCAGGAGCTGGAGCTGACAGACAGGAGCTCACCCCATCTTACAGATTTGAACTGCCAGCCTTCAGGTCAGCAGTTCAGCCGACCTTCAGGTCAGCAGTTCAGCAGCACAAGGGTTTAACACTTTGTGCCACTGCGTAGACTTGTTTACTGCTGCACAGTATGCGGTAAACTCCTGCAGAATTAGAGCAGTGTTTCTCAACCTGGGGGTCGGGACCCCTGAGGGGGTCGTGAGCCGGTGTCAGAGGGGTCGCCAAAGACCATAAGAAAACGCAGTATTTTCTGATGGTCATGGGGATTCCATGTGGGAAGTTTGAGCCAATTCTATCGTCGGTGGAGTTCAGAATGTTCTTTGATTGTAATGAACTATAAATCCCAGCAACTACAACTCCCAAATGTCAAAATCTATTTTCCCCGGACTCCACCAGTGTTCACATTTGGGCATATTGAGTATTCGGGCCAAGTTTGGTCCAGATCCACCATTGCATGAGTCCACAGTGCTCTCTGGATATAGGTGAGCTACAACTCCCAAACTCAAGGTTTGGAAACCCTTCCAGTGTTTTCCATTGGTCATGGGAGCCAAGTTTGTTTCAAATCCATTGCTGGTGGAGTTCAGAATCCTCTTTGATTATAAGTGAACTATAAATCCCAGCAACTACAACTCCCAAATTACAAAATCAATCCTCCCCCAACCCCACTAGCATTCACATTTGGGTGTATTGGGTATTTGTGCCCAGTTTGGTCCAGTGAATGAAAATGCATCCTTCATATTGGATATTTACATTATGATTTATAACAGTAGTAAAATGACTGTTACCAAGTAGCAATGAAAACAATATTATGGTTGGGGGTCACCACAACACGAGGGACTGGATTAAGGGGTTGTGGCATCAGGAAGGTTGAGAACCACTGAGTTAGAGGATCCTTTTATGCTTTGCTGAACGTAGCATTTGTTGAATTTTCTTAGTGGGTCTGTAGATAAGTTTGTAGGTTATGTTTTCTCATCAGTTTCCCGATACTGTCAGTGGATCCCTTGGTGTATGGGAAGAACACTTTCCCTCTAGGTGGCTGTTTATCTTTATTTCCGTGGCTTGTTTTTAATGTTGCAGCTCTTCTGATGCCTGTAATAGAGTAACCTTTTGCCTGTAGAGCTCAGTTTAGGTGATTCAGTTTATGGATTCTTCTTCTGGAAGGGATGTTTACAAGGTGCGTTTATGAATCTTGGCAAGCTTCCCCATATATTGCAGTCAGAGGCACCCTCAAAGGGTTGGGTTTGCACTATGCAAGCATGGTGTAGAAATCTACGTAAGCATTTCCTTCCTTCCCTCCATAAAAGGTGCTCTGGGGTACGAAGAAGGGAAGGCCTTTTGCCGCACTGACAAAAAGATAAACCCCTCAGTCCTGCAGCGCCACTATTTGTCTTCTTTCACAAAGGAAAACAGCTGAGTCAATCAGAGGTTTCATCCGGGGCAGGGAGGGCCCTTGCATTAAAGTCACTTTGCTGAAATGGGGCAAAATGAGGGCAATGCCTCCCCAAATAAGTCGTCTTACTGTCATGTCTTCCTTCAGCCCCCAAATTCCTGGCATTGCGGAAAGAGAGGCCCTTGAAAATCATCCCCACCTTTGCTGTGTTTGCATTCCCAAAGGGTCACTTTGGCTGTCCCTTTTCTCTGGATGCTCCGAGTCTTGACTTCTCAAGGACCCAGTGGAAATTAGCATTTTCATTTTTGCAAACTGCCCAAAATTAGCATTTTCATTTTTGCAAACTGCCTGTGAGCCCAGGCTTTGTGGAACGCTATGTAACAAAATTTGAAAAATGTTCTGTTCCTGTTTGAAAGTGTTATTTCCTGTTTAATTTTGTGGTACTTACTTTTTTTCGTGTCAGGACAACTTGAGAAACTGCAAGTCACTTCTGATGTGAGAGAATTGGCTGTCTGCAAGATCACTATGCTGGATTTTGTGTTTGATCACACGTCGAACACTTTACACAGTCCTAGACACTTGGGAACTGTCTGACATGTAATCACATACAAAATCCAGCATAGTGAGCTTGTTTGCTGTGTACCAATCTTGTTGTGTATCAAATAATAATAATAATAATAATAATAATAATAATAATAATAATAATAATAATGTAATTATTAACCCCCTCTCCTTCTGACTTGAGACAGTGTACAACATCATTAAAATGGGAGCCCCCAGTGGCGCAGTGGGTTAAACGCCTGTGCCGGCAGGACTGAAGACTGACAGGTCGCAGGTTCGAATCTGGGGAGAGGCGGATGAGCTCCCTCTATCAGCTCCAGCTCCTCATGCGGGGACATGAGGGAAGCCTCCCACAAGGATGGTAAAACATCAAAAATCATCCGGGCGTCCCCTGGGCAACATGCTTGCAGACGGCCAATTCTCTCACCCCAGAAGCGACTTGCAGTTTCTCAAGTCGCTCCTGACACGACAAAAAAAAATCATTAAAATAATACACTATTAAAATAATAATAATAATAATAATAATAATAATAATAATAATAATAATAAAACTTTGTTTCTAGATTGCACATCTCTCCCAAAAGGGACTTAGGATGGTTTACAGCACAAAAACAGGTAAACATTCAATGCATTACAAAGTAACAGACAACATCAGAAATAATACA